GTTTGGGGGCGGCGCGATTACATGTAAAGTCAATGCAGAGACGCGGACAGATGCGAATTAATGCGAGTAAACACAGCTGGCAGCCGCGGTGAAACTCGAGCGATTAGAGCGAAGCGAATATTCGCATCGCGTCCGGTGTGAACGTAGCTTTTAATATTATAATTATTTTGCAAGACAATATAATGTTTAAAGACTGTGACCTCACATGAGACAGGGAAAAACTGACCCTGAGGTTATTGCAGGATAATAAAATATTTGATGGATTAATAAAGCGGAGTATCATCTGCAGAAAACATGTAGATACTGTATACACATAGGCCTACAGCCTATTGTTGCCTCATTGCTGCAGCTTGTATAAAGATAACCATGTAGAATTTGGCAAATGTCTTTCTATTCAAGTGTATAATGTTCTCTAATTTCCTGCAAACAACCTGACACTTCAGTGTTTCTCGAGTTTCACCGCGGCTGCCAGCTGTGTTTACTCGCATTAATTCGCATCTGTCCGCGTCTCTGCATTGACTTTACATGTAATCGCGCCGCCCCCAAACATCGCATCGCGTCCGGTCTGAACGTAGCAAGAACAAACAAACGTATATACTGTATGTGCATTCATAAGCGATTCTGAAGACATTGATTCTGGAGAAAGATTGTTCACATATAAATTAAATTGCTTAAACAATTCTCTCCTCCAATCTGCGCTCCTTGAGAACCTTAGCATGTGCCAGATGTTTCCCCTCGCTCACACTGCCTTATCTTTAAACATCCATTGTAGGCCTACTTCCCCTCGCCCGGCTGGAATAATGATGTGTGACTTGATCTGAGCCACTCTGTTTGTTTCCCATTTTCAGAGCCAGGGTTGTGGATGAACACAAGAATGAATACCATCTTTTTCAGTGTATAAACAGAAATGACAGCAAGCTAACCAAGAGGAGATCTTTACTGAATTTGACCAAATGATTTGAAGTGAAAATCATCTATGCATGCATGACTTATGTATTATATGACTTCAAAACATCCAATCGTTATAATTAAAGGGCCTACCTGCTGGTAAAGAGTCTCCCAGTAATCCTGCGTCATCAGTCTAAACAGAGAGAGAAAGGCCCAACCAAAGGAGTCAAAACTGGTGTAATCATAGTCTGGATTTTGTCCTGCTTTTTCGCAATGGAACCCCTCTGGGCAGTGCCTGCAAAAAAACAAAGAGTCCATAAAGCTCAGAAGAAATGCAAACACAGATACATCAAACAGCACAAAGATTATCTACATGATGTTGTATCCAGTCTTCTTGTGTTTGGGTATACACTTACCCAGCTCCAATGCTAAATCCACAAAGCAATGCATCTTTTTTACCTGGAAGGACATAGTAAAAACCTGATGGGGCAAGAAGGAAAATCAGACTTTTTTGTCAGCAGTGGTTGGAAAAAAGCCCAAGATAGACACATAATATATTGTTTATAATGACTATACCTCTATAATCCGCAATTAATAATATCTAATAATATTGTCAACATTGGGCTGGAGGTGTTCATTCAAGTCTAAAAGCCTCACAAATTTGGAATATTTTTAAATGGGGGGGGGG